AAAAAAGGAGAAAAAAAAAGGAAAAAAAGAAGAAGAAAAAATTTGCTTTTCCTAACAATTAAATTTTATGTGCCAATTGTAAAAAAAGCAATTTCAAAGCAATTTTTAATTTTTTTTTTTTGCTTTATTTGTTTATTTATTTTTTTGACTTTTCAAGTAGCAACAATTGCTGAAAACAGAAAAAAACATCTGAAACTAAAATTATACATTGAACAGCAAATACCATTAAATTGTTCTTTTTTTTGTTCCGCAACAGCACCTGAGCAGTAGTAAAGCTTCTTTTTGTTCTGCTACGAGACTTCCATATCACCTATGATTATTATTTTTGAAATACAAAAACTTTGTTTTTACACCTGTAAATATAATATGAAACTTTAACTGAGGGTGCAGAAAAGTCCACCACAATACTATTGATGAATACTATTGATGACAAAGGCATTCAGTAACAACAGTACAGGTTTAGATATGTGAAACGGGGGGATAGATACCGGAAGGGGGAGGGGACCAGCGAGGGAGGAATGGAACGGCAGCGCAAATGTAAAACAGAGGTCTTAAGAGAAGCGTTAAGGTTGGCAAGAAAAAAAAACTTGCTTGCTTGCTTGCTTAATGCTGTTGCCAAAAACTGTGGCCTAAGCCTGAAGAGCGACCAAAGTTATTCTAACTATTCAAACACGTTATTAGCAATGCAAATTCTATTGAATAACTTCTTGTTTCTCAGTTTTTTTCATCACTTTTTTACCCTTCACTATTATTAAACTCGTTGTTCTTACTATACATCCGGAAAAAAAGAATATTACACCTGTTAATTGAAAATTTTAATTTATATCAAGTGAAAATTTTAACAATCCTAATATCAACATCTTAAGCCTATTCAACAACGATGACGGAGAGAAAGAAAGAAAAAAAGAAAGAAAAATAGAAAGTCGATGTAAAAATGAAAAATTAATTTTGTTTTTTCTTTTCTTACACAATCATTTTCTTGATTTGATGTTTTTTTCACCTTTTATGTCAAATTTATCACATCAATAAAATAATCGTTCATTTCTGTATGCTTTTTTTTCTGACAACTATAAATTACTGTAAAACAACAAAAAGCACCAATGATAACGACATAGAACATTCACTCATATATATTCAACAACGGCAACCGCAGTGAAACAAATTAAATCAAAGCACTGAGAAGTACCAAATTTTTAAGTATCAACAAACAGCGGGGAATGAAAAAAACCTAAAAGAAACTACTTTTTTTTTTTCCCACTATTATCGGTGAAGAAAGTTCAAAGTTTAAAAATGTATAAATTGACATTATGTTTGGTTTCAAATTACAATTTTTAAAATCACTGAACTGACCAACCTGTTGTTTCTTTTTGTTTTGTTTTTTTTTCACTTCCTCCTCTTTTCAATTCTCATCAGCTGCCTTCTTCTCTTTCCTTGTCTTCTTCTACTGAAAACAAAACAAAAAAAAAAAAAAACAACAAACTGACTAAGGTAA